AAATTTAAAAAAAATAAATGATAGAATGCAATCGTCTCATTCTCAAACCAAACAAAACAGATGTCGAAAATGACGAATATATATAGAAACGATAATATAAATGACACATTTTCAAAAAACAAGGTTCAATTAAGATATATTTATACTAGACCCTCAATGGCTTTTTAAAAAAAAAAACAATAAAAAAAATTTATTTAATGGAAAACAATCAACAAACACAATCTTTTTTATAATAATTTTAATGAAGCGAAAAAACTGGGTATAATGATACATATATGGTCCAAAAATCATGATAAACACACTATTTAAATAGATTATACAATGATTTAAAGAAATGAAAAAATAATAAGATTAAAACATCATTGAAACTATATGATTTAAAACTGGTGAAACATATGTAAGTTAAAATTTTGAAAAATAACATTATTTTTCATTCTTTATCTTGATTTAAGTATTTTCTTATATTACTATAAATATATTTATTTCATAACTATAAAATATTTTTTTTATTATCATTTCTATAATTAAAACTACTATTTTAAAATAACCATATATTTACAATTATTTAAATCAAATGATAAAACTTTTACTTTAATTTTTTTAAGGTGATAGATACTACTAATGATTTGGTTATTTCTTTAATTTTATGTAAAATTTTCTTTTTTTATATATAGGTTCAGAATTATATTCAGATTTCAAATTATAATGTAAAAACTTTATAAATATAATATTTAATAAAACTTTTTAATATATATATATTTTTTTAAAAAAACTATTATCATAATTTTATTTTATTTTATTTTTTTCACACAATTTTTATATAAATAATGATTATTTAAATAGAAAATTTTTATTTAATAATTTTTTTTTTTTTTTTTTTTTTTTAGTATAATATTTTAAAGAAAAACTAAACATAAAATTAAACGAATAAGTATTCACTTCATTATTTCATACTATATAAAGATTTTTTAAATAATAATCTAATTAATCATTATTTTTTTTTTTAATAGATAAACTAAACCTGGTATTTCAAGAAAAACTCATTAAACTTTTATCCCTCATACAACAACTGCATCACTACAAAATAAACAAAAACAAATAGATTCAAAATTTAAAATTTTTTAAAAATATATAAAATTTTTAAATAAAATTGTTTAATATTTACAAATAAATATTATTTTTTATTTCATTTTTCGGGTATTTAAAATTAGTTTATTTATCAAAATTAATTTTGTAAAAGTTTTAAGGGTATAAAAAATATATATTGATTTAAAAAGGGAATTTTATTAAAAAAGATTTAGGTTTAATAAAAAAAAATATGAATATCTAAAAAAAGACTTTAGGACCAAAAAATCCTTGTTAACCTTTTTAAAATGTTTAAATAATAATCAAAAAATGATGACGAATAATTATTTGTTTAAAAAAAAAAAAATAAAAATTTTAAATTATAAAAAATAAAAAAAAACTATATAATTAAATGGATAGATTTTTATACTAAAATTTTAGTATTTATAATATTTTATTATAGTTTATTTTTTTATTTTTTTATTTTTTTTTACTCTTTTTAAAAAAAAAAAATAAAAAATATAAAAATGATTATAAAATTTAAAAATGAAGAAAATAATATAAACCATAATAAAAAGAAAATTGTAATATATAAAAACATATCCCAACAACTATTAAATAAACTATTAAATCATTTCAAAGTGATTTGTTTTAATCAAATTACAAAAGATAATATGAACCTTTTCATTGACGAAATAGAAACTGCTGATGGCTTAATGGGAAGAGGATTACAGATTGGTGCAAAAATATTAAACAAAGCTAATAATTTGAAAGTTATTTCTGCAATGAGTTCAGGGATCGACCAATATGATCTAAATATTTTAAACCATAGAAAAATACCTTTAATGTACACACCTAATGTTTCAAATGATTCAGTTGCTGATCTTGCAATTGGTTTAATGTTAAATTGTAGTAGAAAAATAAAAAACTCCATGAAGAGAATTAAAAATGGTGAATGGGAAAAAAAAATGGACTATAATTTTTGGTATGGATTGGACGTGCACCATAAAAAAGTAGGTACTTTAATATTTTTTTAGTTTAAATTATAGTTATTAATGGGAATATCTGTAAAAGATTGGTATTGTAGGCATGGGAAGGATAGGTTTAACGCTGTCAAAAAGAGCAAGATTTGGATTTGATATGGAGGTTCTATACCACTCTCGTACAAGACATTTTGATGCTGAATCATTGTATGATGCTGTATTTTATCAAGATGTCGATGAATTATTAAAAGAATGTGATTTTGTAGTATCGATATTACCTCTAACAGAAGAGACTAGATTCTTTTTTTCTGAAAGTAAATTTTCGTTAATGAAAAATACCGCAATTTTTGTTAATGTTGGTAGAGGAGGTGTTGTAGATGAAGTATCGTTAATAAAAGCTTTGAAAGATGGTAGAATTGCTGGCGCAGGATTGGATGTATTTGAATTTGAACCTCTTTCACCAACATCACCACTACTGTCACTTGATAATCTTGTATGTACACCACATTTGGGAATTGCAACATTAGAAACCTCAAATAAAATTGATGAATGTGCTGTAAATAATTTAATTAATGTTTTAATAAATGGTAATTTAGAAAATAATTGTTATAATTTTGATTCATTATTTAAATAAAAAATAAAAGGTTAAAAAAAAATAAAAAACTGTGAGTTAAAAAAATATAAAATTATATATTTTTTTCAAAAAAAAAAAAAAAAAAAAAGAAACAATAAAAAAAAATATTGTTCGCTTTCTTTCTTTCTTTCTTTCTTTTTTTTATTTAATTATTATACTTTATAGTATTAATTATTATTATGATTTTTTTAAAAAAAAGGTATTTTCTATTTTTTTTTTTTTTAAATAATTTAATATTGAAAAATAAAAAAAATATACAATTTTATAAAATGAGCCCTATATTATACGTAATGAAAATTACTATTATTATTATTATTATTATTATTATTATTATTATTATTATTATTATTATTATTATTATTATTATTATTATTATTAATATTACTATTATTACTATTAACTACCATTACTATTTTATTATTACTTTATTATTTAAATATTTATTCCATTTGTTAATTTCTGATATGAGTCATATGAAGCGGTTGTCCAATTATTTATACTTAAACTAATTAAGGACATCATATGAGCTTCGCATTCTTCGACAGACTTTAAATCCAATTTAAATCTTTCTTTAAAAGAAGTTATTGAAGCAGGGCCTCCTTTAACAAAGAAGGTTAAATTTGTTTGAGGGAGGAGTAAATCTAATATCATTTTGAATTCTTCATAGTGCTTTCTAATTTCTACAAAACCTGCAACCAATAAATAAGTAAAATATTTGAAACAATCTGACTCGACACCACCCATTAAATCGATAAATTCTTGAGTAAGTTTGAATGGAGCTTTTTCGAAATTCATATTGCCTGGACTTGTTGATAATAGGAAACCATAGTCGATATGAATTAAATGACCACGGGTGTCGATGAGAATATTACCATTGTGTCTATCTTTAATTTGAAGAAAGTAACAAACCAAAGAATAACCTGCCAAAGATTCAATGAACCCAGTTTGTGCTTTTTTAAATGATTTCGAATTGACATCACCATAGGCACGGATGAAATAGTCGTATAGATTTGTAAATGCTGTATCTTTCTTCTTTAAATTATCTAATGATATTGTATCTGGAACAGTTTCAATGAGACCAGAATCGTGACCTGTTGCAATAACCAAATAGGGTCTTAACCAGAGTGGTAACTTTGACTTTCTAAATATACGATGGAATTGAGTAATCATTTGCATTGCGAACTGCTCTTGTCTTAAATCATCACCAGATTTAACAATAAAAGAAATTAAACCCCAACCTGGATGGTGTGACATCATTGAACTCTTATAGATACGATTCTCTTTTTGTTTCCAAAGTTCCCCAAAAATTGCATATATTGGATTTGATAGATCACGAACCTTCTTTTTCTTTCTGGGAATCTTTTTGGTGATACTAATAACTTTTCTAATAATTCTTTTGGTTTTCTTTGTTATTATATTATTGGCTTGAGATGAATTAGATGATACCGATGATGATGGTGAAAATACCAAACTTGATTCGCCTAATACACTATTTGAACGTACCAATTCACCATTTTGATCAACCTCCTCATCTATTTGTTCATTATTATTACTGTTTGTACTATTATTTTGGTATTGTTGATGGTTATAGTGATCGCCATCTTCTACTATTTCAATTTCCTCTTCGATCTCCACCTCCTCTTCAATTTCAACCTCTTCAACTTTTTCTTCTTCGTCATCAGTAATTTCTTCATCTTCCTCTTCTTCAAATAATTCTTCAGTTTCTTTTTGATAATTAGGATCTTGATATATTTGAGAATCCATACTTTTCTTTACCTCTAAAACAATTAAAAATGGAATTCTATCTCTTGAGTTTAGGCAAAGTGCTTCTTCGTGGCAAATATTTAATACTAAAAATGGTGGATAAACTGGTAAGAATATCATATTTTCCCCAGAAAACAATTGATCGTTTAGTTGCTTTAAAATTACCTTTAATGTTACATTTCTCATATCTTTTTGTTTTGCTTTATCTGTCACCATCGGAATTGTTAAAAGGAAACCACCAATCTTTGATAATATATTTATAAAATGAATTTCTGAATAAAATGGTTGATAATTAAATTTCTTTGTGGTTTTCTTTTCACTGCCATTTGGTTGTTGTTTTGAAATCTGCTTATTACTATTGTTTAATGGTGAATTAAGATTTTTATTACTATTATTACTATTGTCATTATTATCGAAAGATGTTGATCTTGATAATGCCGGTGAGGTTGGTGATGATGTCGATGGTGATTTTGGTGGAAACAAAAATCCACTCATATTTGAAGGAGAGGTAGAAATAACATCCTCAATACTATTATTATTGTTTTTATTATTATTATTACTAAAACTATTATATAGGTTATTATTACTAAATGACTCGCCACCTTCAATTTCTGTACCATTTAAAGCATTGTCTTCAATCTCCACTTGTAAAATATCAAAAAAGAATGTGTATGAATTTTTTGAAGTTGATGCCAAAACTGGGTTGTTATTCTTTGGGTAATTATTTATAATTTGACTACCATACATACTGTTTGGTGACTGTGGAATTCCAGATGTTGATAACTTTTCAAATTCATTATTAACTAAAATTTCTACTTGGTGGTCCTCTTCAAAATTACTAAACTCTGATAATGACTTTGAGAGTGGAAAATTTGATTTCATTTCATTTTGTTGCTCTTGATATGAACTGTCTAAAGATGATGAGGATGATGATCCCTGTTGTTGACATGCTTCGGTCCAGTCTTCGATAATTAAGGTTTTACTGTCTGAAAGCTGATCATTAGAATCGTTTTTTCTTGATCTTACCTCAGTAGATGAAACTGGGATATTATTTGATGATTGTGTATGTTCTGATAAACCTATAGAAGCCATTTCACATCTTTTCCATAAATACTTTGCATTATTGAATGTTATTGGGTTATTATCTCTTACTATCGATTCAATTAAAAAGAATGATTGTGCCGCTATAATAATTGAAAGTCTACATTTTTCCAATAACATTGTAACAACTGGCTCTACTGAATGATAATTAACAATACAAACTTGTCTACAATAACAATAATAATAATAATAATAGTTAGTATCAGAAAAACCACATTTTAACCAATATTTTGTAATTACTTACATTATTTGTGGTAAATAAAATTGAAAATCCTTATCTGGTAGTTTTAAAATTTTTTCACAGACATGCTCTTGAATGGTATTTACAGTTATACTCTTTTGAAGCCACATCATGCATAAATCGATTGAATTATTATTGTTATTTACATTACCACTGCTACCACCACAACTACTTGAGCCAGTATATAAAAGGGAATTTCCGATACTGCTAGTGGTGGAATATTGTGAACTATTATTTTTACTACTAATTATTATTGATGCACCATCCATAATTTCATAATCGTCGCTATTGTCAATAATTTTGCCATCATATTTAATCTCCATAGCTTGATTTAATTGAGTTTTATTCTTTTTAGATGATATTATTGATGCTTTACTAGTAATAATTTCGATGTCATGTTCTATATCCATTCTATAATATTTTTATTTTACTACTACTATTTGCTATTTGCTATTTATTGTTTTATTTTATTTACAACATGTATATTTTTTATATTTGTAAAACATTAAAAAAAAGATACTCTTTTCTTTTTATGTGTTTTATTTAAACTATTTTATTATTATTATTATTTATTATCTATAAAAAAAGAAAAAAATATATTAGTTTTAGTCGCAAAAATTTAGGTATTTTTTTATTTAAGCGAGCTTTGGTAAAAAAAAAAATTTTAAAAAAAATTTTTAAAAAAATAAATTAAAATGAATAAAATGCTTACTATTATGAATATTATTATTTATTTATTAAATTTGCTCTCTATTTCTCCTTTTTTTTAATATTATTATTATTATTATTATTATTATTGTTATTGTTTTATTTGTAATGTTTAAATGTATGTAATGCAATAAGTGGATGATAGAGAGACAATGAATGTTATGAGCTATTTATTTATTATTAATTTATTTTTATATCTTTAATGATACTATATAGTTTATTATTTTATTGTAAATATATATTATTTATTTATTTTTAATCTTCCACCCCTTTTTTTTTATGTTTAATAAATATTAAATGTAAATTATCTTTTATTTTTTCTAACGATTAAAAAAAATAATAAAATAAAAAATATAAAAATAAAATAATTTAAATAATTTTAAATAAAATTTTTTAAAATTTATTTTTTTTTTTTGTTTTTTTTATAACTATTATAAAAAATATTTAGTAACTTTTTAGGGTATGGAGAATAACGAATCGAAATTACTTATGTTTCCCTTAACCTACTATTAGTTATCGATATTTTTTTTTATTTATTTATATATATGTATTTAAAATTGTGTGCTATATAAAAATTTTTACCCTGTTGAATAATGACTATTTATAAATATTTATAAAAAAAATAAAAAATTATATAAAAATATTAAAAAGTTAATGAAATTAAATTATAAAGCTCTAAATGAATGATGGATAATAAAACGGGTGTGAAAGTTTTATCAAACAAAACAGAAAAAAAAAAAAATAAAAAAATAAAAATAAAAAGAAATTTAAAAAAAAAAGAAAAAAAAATTTCCAATTTTTTTTTTTTTCCTCCTGGGAAGTTTTCACTCACAAATAAATTCAAACACATCATCATAAACCAAAATAATAATAGAATAGGTTTAAGCACAAATAATATTTGTTTTGTTTTTTCTTTTTTTTTTGTTGTAAAAATATTATTTATTACTACATAATCCTATTTTAAATAAATTTAACCATTGTATCAAAAAAAAAATAAAAAAAATAAATAATAAAAATTAAATCTGAAATTATTAATAATTCCATTATTTTAAAAAATAAAAAAAAATAAAAAATTGTGAATGGGATTTTTGGTTCCATTAATAATAAATTTAAAAAAATAAAATTAAAAATTCAATTTTTTTTTTTTTTCTTTTTTTTCTAAAATATCTCTTTTTAAAAAAGAAAATTTTCGTTACAATTATAATAGTTTTTTTAA